AAAAAAAAAAAAAAAAAAAAGACAAATGAGAGAGGCACAAACGTGCAGTTCGTAAGTTCATAAAGGGTTAAGGGGAAGAAGTAGGGCAGAGCAGTGCTGCTTACGCACAGTAGACCAGGAGCTCGGTGGTCACCTTTCGATGCCTCTTGCTGAGCAGATTCAAGGCCAAACAGGTGTAGTTCCCTTGGAGGTTTGGCGACATCAGTAACAGCGAGAAAGAGTTGACTGTCAGATTGTGGCCGAAGGACTCACTGCTGGAATTCAGGGCCTGGAACCACCATTCAACCATGGGTGGTGGCCTGGAGCTGCTGTTGCAACTGAAGTCCACCCCGGAGCCCCTGGCTGCGTAGAGGGTGCCGTTGGGGAGTGTGCCGGTGGCTGCGATGTGGACCTCAATCTGATAGGGGCCGCCTGGGAATGACAGAGGGAATAGGATGGCATTAATTATGTAAGAGTTCATTTGATTGTCACTGGGCGCGGTGGCTCACGCCTGTAATCCCAGCACTCTAGGAGGCCGAGGCAGGCGGATCACGAGGTCTGGAGTTCGAGACAAGGCTGACCAACATGGTGAAACCCCGTCTCTACTAAAACATTAAAACAAAATTAGCTGGGCATGGTGGCGCACACCTGTAATCCCAGCTACTCAGGAGGCAGAGGCAGCAGAATCACTTGAAACCAAGAGGCAGAGGTTGCAGTGAGCCGAGATCGTGCCATTGCACTCCAGCCTGGGCGGGCGACAGAGGGAGATTCCGTCTCAAAAAAAAAAGAGTTCATTCGATTGCCTTACCAACTCTAATATAAAAACGAACAGGAAACAGCCAATGAAGAGTATGGTATCTAATACTATGTGACAAATGCTATGCCAAGTGCCCTGATACATTATTTCATTTAATCCTGGGTGACTATGTGAGATTTTATTAGGGGCATAAATCTTTACAGAACAGCAAAAGTATATATTGCTCCTTAAAAAAAAAAAAACTGTAAGGGCTAGACACAGTAGCTTATGCCTATAATCCTAGCACTTTGGGAGGCTGAGGTAGGAGGATCACTTGAGGCCAGGACTTCCAGACCAACCTGGGAAACATAGTAAGACCCCATTTCTATAAAAAAATAAAAATTAGGGCTGGCATGGTGGCTCATGCCTGAATTCCCAGCACTTTAGGAGGCCGAGGGAGGTGGACCACTTGAGGTCAGGAGTTCAACACCAGCCTGGTCAACATGACAAAACCCTGTCTCTACTAAAAATACAAAAATCATCTGGGCATGGTCGCGCATGCCTGTAATCCCAGCTACTAGGGAGGCTGAGGCAGGAGAATCACTTGAACCTGGAAGGTGGATGTTGCAGTGAGCCGAGATTGCGCCACTGCACTCTAGCCTAAGCAACAGAGAAAGACTCCATCTCAAAAAAAAAAAAAAAAAAAACCCAACACTGCAAGGGCTAGGTACGGTAACTCATGCCTGTAATCCTAGCATTCTGGGAGGCTGAGGTAGGAGGATCACTTGAGGCCAGGAGTTCCAGACCAACCTAGGAAACATAGCTAGACCCAATCTCCACAAAAAATTTAAAAATTAATGCCGGCACGGTGGCTCATTCCTGAATTCCCAGCACTTTCGGAGGCCGAGGCAGGCAAATCACTTGAGGTCAGGAGTTCAAGACCAGCCTGGTCAACATGACTAAACCGTGTCTCTACAAAAAATACCAAAATTAGTTGGGCGTGGTGGCACACACCTGTAATCCCAGCTGCTTGGGAGGCTGAGGCAGAATTGCTTGAACTTGGGAGACAGAGGTTGCAGTGAGCCAAGATCACATAACTACACTCCAGCCTGGGCAAGAGAGTGAGACTTCGTCTCAAAATAATAAATAAATAAATAAATAACCAGGTGTGGTATCACGTGCCTATAGTCCCAGCTACTCAGGAGGCCGAGGTGGGAATCTGGCTTTGGCCTGGAAGGTTGAGGTTGCAGTGAGCCATGATCTTGCCCCTGCACTCCAGCCTGGGTGACAGAGTGAGACCTTGTCTCAAAACAAAACAAAATGCTACAGAATGGAAAGTGTATCTGTGCAACGAAGAATTAACACAGCAGTCCTGGGACTCTGGCTTTCCTAGAAAGGCTTGCTTGCAAGGCTGGCCATTTGCTGTATCCGGGAACTTGGATTTCAGGAGAATTCCCATCATTCCTAGAACTGAGAAGAGTGGCTTGCTGTGCCTAAACTATGCAAACAATCTGGTTTAAACTGGGCCTAGTATGGTGGCTTATACCTGGAATCCCAGCACTTTGGGAGGCCAGGTGGGTGGATCACCTGAGGTCAGGAGTTCGAGACCAACCTGGCCAACATGGTGAAACTCCGTTTCTACTAAAAACGCAAAAAATTAGCCAGGCATGGTAGTGGACACCTGTAATCCCAGCTACTCAGGAGGCTGAGGCAGGAGAATCGCTTGAACCGAGGAGGTGGAGGGTGTAGTGAGCCGAGATCGTACCATTGCACTCCAGCCTGGGCAACAAAAGCAAAACTGTCTCAAAAAAGGTTTAAACTGAACACCTGTTTTCCTTCTAGGAGTCAGGAATTCAGTAACTGCAAGGCAGAAGGTGCCCACATGATGAATCCCCAACAAAAAACCTTGAGCACTGAGTCTCCAATGAGTTTCCCTAGTAGACATTCGATGTGCGTAGCCACAACTCATTTCTGGAAGATTTCAGTGTATCCCATGTGACTCCGCTAGGAGAAAACTTGGAAACTTGCGCCTGATTACCCTGGGTTTATTCCCATGCGCCTCTTCCCTTTGCAGGTTTTGTTTTGTATCCTTTTGCTGGAATAAATCATCCTACGTGCTGAGTCCTGTGAGTCCTCTTAGCAGATCGTCAAACCTTGGGGACCCCCAGCACAGTATCACACTGAAAA